AAATTCATAGCGTGCACCGGCCCTGGGCCCCGACAGTGGCAACATTATACATTTTGAAATCAGACACTTTTATTGTGTCTGGCCAAATATTTGGAGAGGCTCAACAACGTATTGTGCAGAAAAGATCACCGAATTCCACCACCTCAAGACGTCTCGGCATTTCTCGTGATTTAGAGGTCAGAGGTAAAACGCCAATTTCCCCAAGGGGAATATCAGCGGGAGTCAGAGCAAGGTCGTCTCGGCCACGTTGGAGGTCAGAACGGGGCACTGATGTTAGCTCGTGGACACAGTTTATTGTTGTGCAAAGTTAGTTTTTTCAATCTTATTGCCACATATCTATCATCACCTATTGGATTCATTTGCTACACAGTAAGTGTCGATTCACAACTATTTTAAATACGTCATTTTTGTGATTTATTGAACTCATACTGCTGGAGGGCATACCGACGAGAGCACCCTCATGCATTTCGCCGTATACGCAATACGACTTACGATTCGAGTTAACTAGCATGCTAGCATAGTAATGGTAAACATATCCCTAATTGTTACTCTAAATATAGTCTAGCGAGTTTTTGTCATCAGACTGATTAATTAATCGTGTTCAACGCAGTTTTAGGGGTTTAGGGTTAAAATCCTTCGTTTTCATGCTCTCTATAGTTTTGGTATGATTTAACGATGACTTCAGCATTATTCGCTTCATTTGTTACATTGTTGTGTGCTGCACCCAGTCTAGCTATACCGGTGAGTACAAACTTTTCATCTGCTCTTAATTACCACGTCGTGGGGACATGTATCCACGTACGTTGCAATTCAAACGTGAATGAACAGATGGAAATGACGTTTCACACAACCTTCAACTCCTAATTAACGCGTCTACAATAGGACACGGATTGCAGATTTGCATCATCTAATATAATACATAAAATTGCATTAGTAGCGTAAAGTGTTTTTAATTATGCCTTATTTCTTTTTATCGTTCAGATTGACGCCGGATTTGGTTTCTATGACCGTGACGCGGGTAACCTTGGAGACCGAGGTGAGTGGTTAAAGTTTCATTTGGTGGAAATAGCAGAAGAGGCGCCCGATTAAAATACATATGATTCCAAAGCAATATCATGTGTGTTGATGAGCATTCCTACCATCTGTAGCTAATCCTTGTAGTTTTTTTAGAAGAAGCGAAATATGTATTCTTGATTGACGTATGCGATACAGAGACATTTCTAATAATTGGTTTATACATTTTGCATATAACGCATTGTATTTTGTATAAACACTTTCCTAAACATCTATGCTCCACAAATTAAAGACATGTATTCAAAACTCCATGGTCTAAGGCGACTGGTTGGCGAAACACGTTTGGTAATTAAGAATGTTGTTATTACATGTACTACTATTAACCCAAAACGTTTTATCACGTTAATGTCGTTCACATGGACGATGTTTTGCTAGTTCAGTAGTGGCTTCGAGAGACTTCTTACAATGGTTTGGTGGTATGTTTCACATTAGCCATTTCTTTAGTGGTTTCGTGATTCTTCGTGCAATAGTGCGTATGGTATGTTTCACATTGATCATTTTAATGTAGGCTTCATCTGCAATAACACAGTGGTTTGGCTGGTATACTGCACATTAACCATTTCATTGGTGGTTTTGATTTGGCTGCTATGTTTCGCATTGTTCATTTCATAGATCGTTTTGTGTGCATGTCTTTGCACGACACCTGCAAGATCCCCGACTATTACCAACTTTTTATTTTTGCTTTGTTAGGATGTTAGGAAACTCTCGTCTGCAGCTTTGTTGTTCTTGTCGTTAAGGTGATTGTGTGTGCGATAACTTGAGTAATTTTCATCCAAACAATGTCAAACTTAGTTATATCGTTCATGGGTAATAATATCTTGCTTTAGTGTGAAAATACTATTTATTTTATTTGTTAATTGAGTATCCTTGACAGCTCAGGAACAGATGGTATATACTTCAATTACGTCCTTGTTTATAGGTATTTATAGTGGATAAATATTACAGTCTGTGTACTAAATCATCAAAATCCTTGGGGAATACTCAGCTCAAATGTTAATAGATTGGCACTGGTTACATCTTAAACACAAAATGGATGTCATTTAGACATCACCATTGTTAATTAACCTTTTTAGTGCAGACAGTAAAGTTTTGTCGCCTTTCTCAAAATAAAACCCACTTTTTGAACAAGGTATTTTGTCAATTTATGCTTATTTGGTACAAAATTATCAAAACAAATTATAGAAAAGTTGAATAAACAACTTAGATGTTGCACACACATTGCATCTTGGGAAAATTACATCTTAGAAAAGTAACTGCTCACACACTATGTCAGACATTAAAATATGATTGATAAAATGTGGTCTTATTATTTTGTTACATCAGAATTATTACTTTGCCAATACTCCAAGGAACTTGTCCCATTTTTAATGTGCCGTTCAAGTTTTCCTTTTTTGTTAGCTATTATATATTCTGTTTTTGTATATTGTGTACAAATGTTTCAAAAGGCTTAAAATAGTGAATTTTAACATCTACACGTGTAAATATACCTCTTTGCTGTCAATAGGGGGCTAGGGGTAGCTGGCACAGTTTTACGGGAAATAAAAAGGGCTTTGCACAATTTACAAGAAAAAAAAGACGTTTTTACAGTTTACAGTGAAAATTGAATTTTACAATGAATTGTGTCATCTAGTCGTTTTAAAGTTTCGAAAATGTAATTTCCCCGGATTATTTTTTACGACTTTTTTTATTTGGATGTAAATTCTTGTACGTAACGAGAAAAATGGCACATTTTACAGTGTACGAAAAAAATATTTGATTGATTACGTTGTACGTCTAGCCTGTGATTACAGAATTACGGAATTTATTTTTTCAATTTATGTTGTACGAACAAAAAAATATTGCAATTACGTTGAACGAAAATAACCCTTGCCCCCTATCAATATTAAAACAATTAGCAATATTGGGAACAGCAGGTTTCCCAACAGTAATGACATTGCGTTAAGGGAGCTTCAACTTTCCTGCCCCAATTGTCTAAGAATTTTTTCCGAAAAAATATTCACCAATGGACAATCAACCATGATATGTATTAATGTTTCATTCTCCTCATCATCTATCAGGTATATTTAAATCACCTTTGTTGATACCCCCAACAGCTGTTTTACGAGGCATCCGATCAGGGCCGTTCCAAATAAATTTAAAAATCAAACAGTTTATCTTTTTCAAAACATCCATATGAGGTTAAGAGAGGTTCCTCACATACCAAACTCTAGAGATTCCCAAAGCTTTAATTATTTGAACTCTACCTAGCAGAGTCAAATTTCTCATTTTCCAGAAATGTAAAGACCTATTAGGAGACTCCATATTTATTTTGTCTGCCAGTTTCTGGTTATAAGCTCAATAGATCCCAACAAATTTTATTGGTACAGTTGGCCATTTTACCTGAAGTGGTTTGTCTTTTCTGTTTCGCCATCTACCCAACCACAAAGTTTCACTTTTTTCTTTATTAACCCCCAATCCTGAAATAATTTTTAAATGCTTTAATTTGTCAAATAATCTTTGGGTAGAAGGCAGGTTCCCCTTGATTTGGCACTTCAAATCCTTTGATGTCTGCATCGGCTCGTAGTGAACACATAAATATCTCTAGAGCCAAAATAAAAAGCATTGGTGACACGGGTCACCCTGCTTGACCCCCCTTCCCAAAGGGAAGTACCCAGTACTGGTTCCATTGTTCATGACACAGCTAGTAATGTTTGTGTACAGAACTCTAACCCATTCCCTAACATTTGGACCAAATGTAAATGTTTTCAGTGTTTCGTGAATAAAGTGCCATTCCACTGTATCAAATGCTTTTTCTATATCGATTGTAGGCAAAATACCTGCTAAGTTTTGCTCTTTAGAAAATTCAAGTACACCATTTACTAACCGCACCACATCTCCTATAAATCTATTCTTCACAAATGCAGATTGTGTTACATGAATAATGTGGGGCAAAACCCTTTCTAACCTCTTGGCTAAGCATTTGGTACCCAGTTTATA